TTATATTAAAAAGAGATTGATAATGAGCAGTATAATAAAGTGGTTAGGTGCACAGTCATTAGAGTCAGACTGCTTGGGTACAAAATCTAGTTTAGCCTCTTATTAGCTATGTTTACTTGGGCAAGTAATAACCTTTCTTTGCCTTAGTTTGCCCATCTGCACAATGAGAGGGGTTATGGTTTCTAACTCAGAGTTTTGAAGATTAAATGAGTTAACACATACAAAGTGCTTTTAGCAACAACTGTACACAGGAAGCATTAAATTAGGGTTATCAATTTTCCTTTTTATTAGGTAAGGCTCTTAATTAGTGCCATTCCCACAGTAAGTGCTTAGGAAGTGCTAGGCCTCTTATTGTGCTACTTCTAATACTAATAACACTAGTTTCATTTTTGAGTATGCCAGTATGTCAAGAGTGAATGTCAAGAGCTAAGGCAGGGACCACTAGAGTACAGAGGCTACTGGCAATTGTAAATACATATTAGAATCAGAATGTATCCCTATTCTACTTTTGTTCACCTCAATAGAGCAGCCGATGAGGGTACTAAGGAGCCCTTGAACAAGTGGGAAAAAAAGTTTCTGAGTGGCAAACATCAAGCATCTCATTTCAACCACATCAGCAACCTGTGCTGTCTGTAGAGTGGAAATCATTCATGGGCAATAAATATTTCATGATATTTGAATATTTTACTAAGACTGTGTTTTGGATACATCACTACTTTAGATAATTTAGAACCAAATTTGAAGTCATCATGACAGGAGCTTGGATGTATTTTCTTGGAGATGACATTTATGCAAAAATCAATAAAATCATAAGAAATCTGAATTTCTTTTAAAATAAATTATTATCATGTATTTAGTTCATTGTGGAGCTAATAACAGTATCTATATTATAACTTGTATAGTGATAGTATCGGATAGTTTGGTTTTTATATGAAGATAGTATCTTTTTGACCTTTGGATAGGAACAAAATACAGAATCAGAAAAAGTAGTGGTACAGTATCTTGGCAGACAAAGGCATGAGTTAAGTTGTCCTACTTGATTCCAACTTGAGTTATCATATTTGCTGTTTCTGTTTCTTCGTCTCCATTTTTCAATCTTTCCAATATTTCTAGTACTTTATTCCCATCACTTCCATGAGGCAATGCTTATCTATAACACCAGTGACCTCTATTTTGCCAAATCTAAGTGGCATTTCTCTGTATTCATGTCACTGACCTCCTTATAGCCTTATAGAATTGATCACTCCTCTTTTGGAAAACCCAACTATCTTCTCTGGGCTTCTGTGATACCGTGCATGTTCTATTTTCCTTTTTCATCTAATAGCAACTTCTTAATCTAATTTACTGGCTCCTTACCTTTTGCCTAACCTCTAACTGTTGAAGTGTTCCCCAGAGTTTAGACTGTGCTACCTTGTCACCTTGCATTCCCTGCCTAGGTAAACTCATTCAAGTTCATGAGCTAATACAGATGGCGTCAAATGCCATCTGTATCCCAATGAATCCTAAAATGATAATCAGGTCCTGATTTCTCTCCAGATTTGAGACTTACGTAAAATTCAACATCTACTCTTCAATGTCTAATCAGCATCTCAAACTTAGTACATTTTTCTTCCACTTACCATCTGCTTGCCCTGTCAAACCTGTTCTCTTCTTCTCCATTCCAGTTAATGGCTTCGTTCTCTACCATTTATTCAAGTCGAGGTTGAAAGAAAATCTGTTTGTCAAATCCTCTCTTTACACCACACATCTAGTCCATAATTGTCCCATCACCTTAGTCTAAGACACAATCTTCTCTTTCCTAGGTTGTTAACACAACTCCCTGGTTGGTCTCCCTGCTCCGACTGAACCATTCTTCGACTTTAAAATGTTATCATTTTAAAACAGTAGATTGGATCCCTGCTTGCTCCCCTCCCTGAGCTTCCCACTATATAATCAATATGTAATAAATTACATAATATATATAATATATAATAAAGCACGAACTTCTTGCTATGGCCCCTAGGTAACTTTCTGAATTGTTTTTATCATCCTTGCCCATGTTTCATCACACATAAGTACAACAGTTTTCTGTCTCTTGAGTGTCTGTGGCTCATACTTACTTCAGGGCCTTCAGATTGCTCTTTTCTATTCCTTTAGGTCTTTGAATTGCTGGACCATTGTTATAGACTGAATGTTTATGTTCCCCAAAATTCATATGTTGAAACATAAGCCCCAAAGTAATGGTATTTGGAGGTGGGGCCTTTAGGAAGTGATTAGGTCATAAGGGTGGAGTCCTCATGAATAGAATTAGTGCCTTATAAAAGAGACCCCAGGAGCTCAATTACCCATTTCTCCACACCAGAGCACAGAGGGAAGATGTTGTCTATGAGCTAAGAAGAGGGATCTCACTAGACATCGAAACTGCTGGCAACTTGATCTGGGACACCCCAGCCTCCAGAACTGTAAGAAATAAATTTCTCTTGTTTATAAGTCACTTGTTTATGGGATTCTGTTAGAGCAGCCCCAAAGCACCTTTTCTCATTGTTTACTTTCACAAAGACACCTTCCCTAGACACTCTACCTAATACTCTCCTCCTGCTTCCTACTTTGCAGCCATTGTCTATTTTATTATCCTGTTTTATCTCATACCAGTCATCACCATCTGCATTTATCTTATTTTTAGATTTTATTTGTTTACATCTCTACTATCTGTTCTACTCTCCCATAGAGTGTAAGCTCTAATAGGACTCGATCCATCTTGTTCATAGCTCTTTAAAGTAGCATGTGATCATTATTAGATGCTTAACATATTAATTGAATTAGTGAATGAATGTTAGAAAGTTAGACAGATAGCCCACTATAATCTACTTTTACTTTTAGAGAACTGAAGAAATTACATTTTTTACATAGATAAATTTCTCAAAGTTCAAAAGTATATTTCTTCTGGTTTGAAGTGCTTCACTCTTACCTCAGTTTTGTTTTTTCTTTTGTTTTAGCTTTCTGTGGCTATTTAGTTTTGTTACAGCAATATACCTGAAGGATTGTGAAACTATTTTAACTCTGCATTTACTTTAGCTCAGTGGACCCAGTGGTCTGAGAACAAGTTGTTATCTGAGATTACAACTAACTTGTGTATTTCAGTCCCTGCTTTGGGAAAAAGAAAAAAATAGACCCATTTAAAGTAACATAATTTACCCAAAGGTAAGATGTTTTAAATACCCAGTTCTAATCTATTAATTTAGTCTCACTTAAAGAAAAAGTAATTTTTTGGGCACCATTCTTTGTCATTGATTTATTCATTTTTGACATTATTTGATAGATCCCTAAGTGTCTATATCAGCTGTTTAAGGACACAAACAAGATACAAAGCCCCTGTTTTTGAGAGATTTTTTTTGCATCATATTCATATCTTCTGGATGAGGGAAATACGTGGAATACTAAAAGTGCAATGTAGTATTTCAGTGAATATAAATTTTTTAGTAAATGTAAATATTCAATAAATTTCACAATGTTCTGAAGAACTTCTATCAAATTTGTAAATGATCTTCATACATGACAAAATCTTTTTGAACTAAAGAAGATTCTTAATGTATTTAGTGTTCCATCTTTTCAGGAAGAAGCTAGAGATTATAAATGCTATATCCTAAAGCTAATCAGTAAAAATAATAATACATTTGTACCAGTTAGATAAGAAATCTGTGGGATAAAAGAGCCCTGAATTGAGAATTAGGAAATTTGGACACTAATCTTAGCTTTGTTACTAAGTAGATATGCTATTTTAGGAAAATTATTTAAACTGAGGCTTCATTTTAAAATAAACTCTTTAGAAAACCAGAATAAAGGTTAGATATTCCTTAAGGTCTATTCCAGCTGCAGAATATGAGAATATTAAACTTCCTCTTATGGATAGCTTTTCAGGATAATACTGACATTCATCTTTAGTATTTATTAAATACCAGCCATGGAAATTGGAAGTCATTTCTGGTGTATTAAGAGTGACTTGGAAGCAGATTTATTCTCAACTCAAAGAGTTGAACACATTTTGGTTATAGAGATGAGTATGTATGTGTGAGAGAAAGGGAAATAGAATTTAGATAGGCCCACACTTGTCAAAAATGATAAAAAGAATGAATGGACATGTACGATAATCATTGATTAATAGTGGCAAGTGTTAAAGCTAAAAATAAAGTGCTTTATGATTGCTAGGAAACAGCTAGAGGTTGCTTAGAGCACTTTGTTTTGTTGCGAAAGCCTTGTGCAATGGAATATCACAGACTACAAAGAACCAGGTGACTGTTATTTTGCCCCATTGCCTCTACATCGCTTGGAATAAAAAAAAAAAAATGGCTGTAAGTCAGATCCTGTTATTGGCAAAGTTCCTATGACTGCTTATCCTAGGGTAATCAGATTCAGAGCAAGGCTCCTACACCTAACTCTTTGCATGGTAAATATCTGATTAGCTCCTGGGCTATCTAACTACTGATTTAAGAATAGAAATGCATTTTATTCTTTGTGGGTATACAGCTGAATGGATACAATGTAGGTTTTTTTTTTTTAACATTATTTAACAAAATGTACTCTAGTAAGGTATTAAAGAGCAATTCTCATAATTGCTGGCCCCAATCTGTCTTGATTTTACTTCCCTGAATTTTTTTTTTTTTGAACTGTTAGTAAGTGCTTAGATCTGTCAATTAACACTGATTTTTTTAAAGTTATTCCTTAACTTGAGGTCCTTAACTTTCAGAAAAAGAAGAGCTGTCTCCTTATGACAGAGCAGTTCTCTCTCTGTTTTCTCTTACCACTCTCCACATCTTTAGGACCTCTTCTACTGTTTTCCAAGAGACTTTTAACATTTTTGCATTTATTGCATTTATTATATTTTTAAAAAGATAATTGCATAATTGTGTCAACATTAGTGAAACCAGGTTCTCAAAAGTCAAAGTTTTAATTCTAGAAGTATATGAAATGTAAAATTTGCCTTTTTAAAAAACAATTTAATAAAAATCACTCAGTATACTTACATCAACGATCAAGAAATCTAGCCAGCACCAGGCATTAGTGAAATATGTTTGAAATCCATACGCTACCCATTTGAGAAGCATTTCCAGAATGAATATATAAGTGAAGACTTTGTCAGCATATTCTAGCATGGTTTTGATAGTCTTTCGCTGTTCAATGTATATATCTTCAAAAGCCTGTGAATGAAGAATGCTTTTATTTTACTTGAATGGCTTGCCTCCCCCAAATACTTGATAAAATTGCTTAGTATAATACTGGTCACAAAGCAATAATTTAATAAATATTAGCTAACATCAGGCAAACATTGAACATTAGACAACATTTAAAGTCTAAAACTAATGGAAAATGTTGGCAAGGAAATGTCAGTATCTTCACTGATTTAGTATGTACTTTCTTCCCTGCCTTTTACCCCAAAATTTCTATTTCAATTACTACTACAAAGACTTGCTTTTAGATAGTAGTAAACTCAGAAAATAATTAGAAGTTTTGTTGATGAGGGAGAGACTTGAACTATTCCAACATAATGATTGGAATGATTTCCTGAATGATCCATATTATTTTGAAAGAATAAATTGATTAGACATAAAGAAAGCAAGATATACTTTTAGTCTATAAATGTTAATATGATTAATAGTGAGAACTGGATGGTATTTGATGTGGAAGGTAACATAGTTACAGAATGTCTCTGTAAATGATTGTCTCAGTGAGGAAAACATCTGTTAGAAAAACACCAGATGAGAAATTCCATCTGGCTCTTCATGGCCTTGATTTATTTTGTACTGAATTTTGCACAATTCAACTCTGGGTGCCAAGCTCTGCAAGGCACAGATACACTTTCTCCTTTACTTCTTAAACTCAACATATGCTTCTGGTATTTTCAGAAAATAAGCTATTCTACTAGAATCTGATTCTTGCAATATGCTTTTCACTTACCAAAGCACCACTACTAAGAAGGATCATGAAGACAATGAAAGTCTCAAACCAGTTGTGCTCAACAATGCTGTAGCAGGTTTTCCGAAGATTCCACCAGATCTTTCCTTTGCCTTCTTCTATACTTACTTGACAGAATGGAAACTTTTTAATACATCCTAAAAGATAAAATTAAATATAATAAATTAGAAAAATATTTTACTATTAATTAGGAAAAAAAAAAAAAAACTTTGTTGCTCCCTCCACACCCCAGGCTCAGATCATTATTTTATAGGGTAACTGGTTACTCCATTCTCTAGTTATCTTCAATATCCTTCCTGTATAATGAATCATTTTCAGATTTAGTTATTTAGCCAGCTATCTAGAATTCAAGGAATTACTTTACCAAGAGTTGCTTGAGTATAAATGTTTCATTCCTTAACACTAGTTAGGATCTCTCTTCACCTCAAGGTCACTGATGGAAATAGGGTCCAATAACACTTCTCAGGTTTGGGGGAAAACTACACATTCAAATTGTTTATTCATTTTTTGATGTGATCCTGGACTTTCACTCCCTTCTTATCATGACAGAAAATCCCCCTGTCTTCCCAGTTATCAGCCATTGTCAGTTTTCCCAAGCTAATTTATTTTCAGCTTCAGTGCTTTTCTAAGTCACACCTATGACTCATCTTGTCAGTCAGTATCTCTATTTCTTTTCCTCCCCCTCTTTGCTTTCATGTTATTTCTAACTTGAATCTACTCTCCTCCTCTAACTCTCTGAGCTTTTACTTATCAGATTAAATCCAATCACACTGAGTCAGCAAATCTTTATTGATTTGTATGCAAGACACTGCACTGGTTGCTGTGAGAATTACTCTTCTCTGTGTCAAAGCTCTACAACACATTTACATCCCTAGACAGCTCTGGCTACAGCACAAATTAACCACATTTGAAACTATAAGGGTTGGGGTGTAATTATTGCAGCATCTATAAATCAAATAATCATACTAACAATGAGGTCTGAAGGGAGTGCTGTATCAATGAGATGACATTCCAGAATGTCATTTATCTCATAGAGTCAACTTTATTCTGAGGACTAAAGGAAAAAGACATGTTAAATCATCTTAATTGTGCAAGCACAGACACTGCTATAGTATAATCTGGAAGTATAGATAAACTAACATTTAGGAAGAAAAGAGGAAAACAAAGATAAACATGCCTTCACCAATTTTTTGAAATATTTCTTTGAAATGAGGTATCATCCTTCTCTGTAAGGAAAAAGGGGAGATGACATTTAATCATATTAGAGCTTGTTTACCTTCAGTAAAACAAGCTTCTGGTTTAAGGTCTTCCTCTGGTTCAATTTCAGCTTGGTCACCTTCTCGGGGTGGAGCAACATCAACTGTGCTTCCTTCAGATGAGCTGGTTGCATTTAATTTCTGGAAACAAAACCCCATTGCAAAGATGTAACTTTTTTCCCCTTTTATTCAGTTAATTTGGAAATACTCTGTCATAGGGTGCAAAAAATGGTAGAGATAGCATTTGATTCTATTAACATTACTGATTTTACATAATTCATACTAATAATTATAAAATAATTAAAGTCCTACTTTTCAAAACAATGCAACTACTGACTTGGTTCAGACGAAAAAATGTTTAGACAGCATTCAATGTGGGTGATTTGGAAAGGATGGATTATACTGATTAACTTGTTCTGTGATCTCCATTTATGTATGAATCCATATGAAAATAATTTAATACATTAAGACTAAGACCAACTCAAGAATAGTTTGATAAAAGTCTTGTATGCTGACATCCACTGCTGATTATATTAATTAAAATGCATCAAATCAAATTGTATTTTCCATCACTTCCAATGGAAATTTTCAGAGGGCAAAGAACATTACCAGTTGTCTGTAACTACTGTCCATGTTTCTATAATTTTAGAAAGGAAGAATGGCTCATTAACATTAGTCACAGTCATTATACTTCAATTTTGAGCTATATTTTCCTCTGGCTTATGTAATTTTCTTCACTCTTTACTAGCAGAAAAAGATGGATCTCTCTCTCTCTCTCTCTCTCTCTCTCTCTCTCTCAATTGCTTAAATGAATTATGAATTCAGTACTTGCCAAAGAATTCTAAATGGAAATTTCTTCGTAAATGGCATTGTCCAGAATCTGGGTAGACTTATTAGGAGCACATTCTTAATTCAACATGTGATCAGGCTGTGAATTTTTCCATTATATAAATCACTATGACATGCCACATGGCTAAGAAGAGCCACTTCAGTGTTACAAGAATAAATATCTAGTAAGTACTCTGAGATCACTTGGGAAGACATTATGGATGTGTAATGCTTTATGAAAACTGGTGCAAAGACATGACATACAACACAGCCTAGGCAATGTAAAGCTTTTAGAAGGAAAGAACAGCACATGGACAGGTTAATGCTTTCAAAATCTCCATTTACTTTAGTAGCTAGTGGTAGGGTCACTCTGCTTCTGAAAGAGTAATGTGTTATTAAAAAATATCTAAATGACTCCCTCAATATAGATCATATCGGAGGAAATTTGGCTCAAAATTTTTGATTTATTGAAATTATAATATAAATGTAGTTTAATATTTTATAATGTGAACTAATTGAAGAATAGTATCCAGATGATACTTTCTGTGATGTTACTTTGAGGGAGAGGCTAGCCAGGTACAACTAAATATATTATTAAAATTACTTTAAGTCAAAATATAATTCTATAATAAAATACCTCCATGTCTGGAGTAGTCTGCAGATAGAAGCTAGACTGATGATTTTTGGCTGATGATTTATAGGATTATTATAGTGCAAGAATTTTACCATTAAATTCCTCTACATTTTGGAGAGGTGGAAGGCCAAGACATTTTCTTCTCCTAGGAATTTTGGGCTTACTACAGCCAGGATATCTTTATTTTTCTAAGGAAATCCTAGGAAAGCTAGTGCTGGATAGAATTGCTGCAGCTTCTGGTTTCATGAAGAAAATATTAGATAATTGTTTTGACTCAGCAACTAACTCTTTCCTTCAAATGTTACTTCTTGTTTTATGGATTGGACACTATGACATTTAATGAGTGGCAGTAATAATATCATAATTGCATAATATGATAATATCATAACTGCATATATAAAACCAGTAAGAAACCAAATTTTTTTTGAGATTAGTTATGAAAAGTTTCGTGTTTCTTCTTTTTCTTGGCCATTTCAAGCTCAGGAATTTCTTTTGAGCCTGGTCATGGTCCACCTTCTCCATGAATCCTTTCTTTCTTGCATGATATTTCCACACTTAATTTTATAGACTTTTAGTCCTTATACTTGTTTGTTTTGACTAAATATTCTTATAAATATATATAAATTATATATGTACGTAAAATTATATACTTATGTACATATATATAAACATATATACCAAAAATGTACACACACACACACACATATGTATACCAAAATATCCAAGCATAAAATAGACACTAAATAGTGTTGATCAGGTTTATGAAGAGTGAATAAATTAATGATTGCATTTTAGAATTATTCTTATAGAGAGAATTATAGTATTTAGATAATTTCATCTATTTTGAAATAATCATGGAAATGTCTAAATCCCTCCATCATGGTCTTGACAGAAGTCTAATTGTATTAGAAAATGTATTTTCTTAATGAATAGGAATTGTCTAATTAATAATATGTTAGTGATAAAAATACATGTTATTTCCAAAATGTTGCTCTAAAATATAGGCTGACATTTGATAAAGAAATCTAAGGGAAGATATTAATAAGTATATGTGTATATACACACACAAGTACATATACTTTTCTTTTAGAAAACTGTAGAAAATATAGTCATCCTTCACTTCTCATTTTACTACTGTTAATATAATTGTGAAGTGTTGAATATTTTTCATTATAATTATCTGCCATATATTATACAGGTATCTTAAACACTTATTTGAACAAGCCCTTCACAGCATAAGTAATAGTAGCTGCTAATCTGAATGACAACTAAATCTGGTGTTTACTAAGTATTGACCTCTCTGTATGTATTTTTGTTATTGGTACTGGCTTCACATTATTAACATTGGTAAATATGGTTAACGTGTTGGATATAAATAATTTTAATTTTCTAAATGCTATGGAGACTATGCATTCAAAAATCATAAAGTAGGGAGGATCAGTAGTGAGTTAATTAGCCTCTATCCTCCTAGCATTATGAGGTAAAACATGTCTTTTGAAAACAGGCAAAGGAAAAAACTCTGCATGTCTTCTCAAACAAGCATTTTACATAGAGAATTGCTTCACTGTTACCCAGGAGTTTTTCTGTTTATAAGGATAATATAAGGATAAATTCTTAAAATTTATGCTCTGGAAAGTTCCTTAAGGAATGTTCAGACAGAGACTTGAGACCCTCAAACCAAAGCTTAAAAGATAATTGGTAAACTAGTGTTCATTTCACTAAAAAGTGTTTTGTGAGAAGTTCCTTTCCCTATGGAGGTTGCCATAAAGTTAATTCTTCCTAAATTGAAGAATCAGGCTTATTTATATTATAACCTTCATAGGCCATGATTTTGTCATAGAATGCATTTTATTCTATAAAATTATGAAAATATCGAATCAACTACATAAAATTTTTGAAAATGTGAATTTACTTACAATTTAAAATTAAGGCTTAGGCTGTCTTTAAGTTATAACAACCAATTATCATATATTTCCTGATATACTTTGGTCACTGGATACATAAATAATTTTATTGCTGTATTTTTAAACCATTAACTTATACCCTAGGAAACTTCTTAAGCATTTAAACTTCTACACATTGATGTAATACTATCTACAGAATCTAAACATTTTCTAAGTTCAACACTTTGACATTTATACTCCGGTAGGGTGTAGTTTGTGATACATTTTGTCATAGCCATACCAATATGACTTCCAAAATGATTTATTTAAAAGCATGTAACTGATTTAAAAGCACGAGACTGATGATAAATACAAAGAATAACTTACTTTCTATATATTGCCATAGCTGTGATACTATGATATAAAAAAAGAGCAAAGAAACCTGAAATGAAAATTTCCATATTAAGGAACTTGATGACTATACTAAATAACTAAAATTAATACTCATTCTGAAGTAGTTAGAAAAATATTAAGAGTATATAGGCATAACAATAGAAAGCTTCCATATAAAACCACATAGTACAAGCTCGGACTTGTTTTCTTGTACTATTTTCTTCCTACTCTTCCAATATTTTATGGCATTTAAGGTTCGATTCTTCCATCCCTTGTAGAAACTACTAAGTCTACAGAGGGATGATGGCTTATGCACACTGGGAAGCAGGTTTTAAGATGCAACATTCTCCAGACCTAATTCAGCCGCAGAAAACATGCCTGGCTGTAGCAGAAGCCTGGCGCAATGCTGTGGAAGCCGCACGCTGATCCAAGAACCATGTCCTCAAGGACATGGTACCTGAATATGAAGTTTTCAAGAAGGTTAACTGCAATACCACTCATAAGAAATGACAGAATCAGCACCCCAAAAGGCCATGCGACCATGTTTTCCCCCTAATAGCATGAACTTATGTAGAAATTTCCTCTTATGCTGAATATTGCCGTTGATTTTTATCCAATTAAATAATGAAATTTAACTTTCAGAGATAGACGAGAATGTTAGCAACTGGCCTACTTCCACTGAAATGCGCTCACATTTCATTTATTTTCAATCAACTATCAAATGTTTGACTCTCACAAACTGCAGTATGATTCAAGAGGCAAAAATAAAAGATTCAGCCATTACAGATTGCCTTTAAAATCTAGCCATTGATCTCAGAACTTCTGGAATTTGTCTTGCAAGTGGAAGAGGAAAATCTTTTGGTCATACATACTGTCAGGGCCTTAGTCTGATCTTTTGGATATGCATATCCATATCTTGACTTACAACATTTTACTTGAAGAAAAAGTAGCCACAGTGAGGCCATTGGGCTGCTTATCCAAGGCAGCAAGAATACGACTAAAACCAATAGTTCTTTTTTCTGGACCACTTATTGAAGGGTTAAAAATATTTGGTTTGACCACAACATATTTTAAATGTGCAACACCCCTGGTGCTCCTTTTGTTTTAAAATCGTCTTAATGAGTATATAATGTGTGAAGCAAAATAATTGTGTAGTACTTTAAAAGTAAAGTGAAGGGGTATCAAGAAGGCAAAAGAAAAAGCTGGTTTATTTTGAGAAAATACGCAAAAGTTGCCACTAAACCAGCCTTAATTGACTTTAATTTCAGCAGAAGTACACTAAAACACCAAAACAGTTCTCTAAAGGTTGAGGTACATTTAAAATGGCCATTCACACACCCATCTGTGCCTCTGCAAGAGTTGCCTCATATTGTTTCACGAAGAGTGTAACTAAAAAGTCAGTG